GTTCCACATTTCGAAATGTCCGGTGCGGCTAGTGGTGCCGCCCCAACAGTTGGAACAGACGTCAAGTTGACAGCTCCGGCGAGACCGCCAAGACCAAGCAGAACATTCCGGCGATCAAGATTGCTGAGAGAATCGTCAGAAGAAGCAGCATTGCAAGAGACTTTGTGCTTTAGTGACTTGAGAGCACATTTCTTGAAGGTTTTTGAGAACAATGGCCAAGAAGAGACTACCGGAGAAGTGGTTAAGAAAGAAGAAGAGCAGGTTTTAGTGGTGGTTCCGGCAGCCGTAGGTGTCAGAGTTGGAAGAGAAGCCATGATGGGAGATGGTGTGCATGCCAACTGAGATCCTAGCATGGTTTATATAGAAAGATTCTGATGCCACTGGGCAGTTCCCATTTGTCACGTCTCATAGTGGTTGGATTTTACAATAAAATAAAACAACCATTATTTTCTTACTATTGAATATTCATAGATAAGATCACATATCCAACAACTTGGTTTGAAAAAAAAAAAATCAACTTTTTACTATAAATGTTGTATTTGCGATTGATTATAAAAATAATTTATTGATTTATTTCGATATGATATCAGTAACAAGTATTTTTGAGTGTTTAGATAAACAGCTTATACCGATGCTAAACCGGTAATACGAAATTTTTTAAGAAGTTAAATCATTTTAACTTATAATAAGTTGATAAAGAATTTTTGTTGAAAAATATAAGTTGTTTCAAATAAGCAATCTCAAACACCCCTTAAATAGCTATAATTAAGAACAACAAAAGAGTTACAAATATATATCGAATTCGAAAAAAGTATGCTTAGATTTAAGCCGATATAAATTTCTAACATTTTTATTGATAAACTTTGAGATCTTTTGTTACCCGATAAAATCGTCATATCTTAAACAATGTTTTCCATAATTATTCAGATGATGGTGATAAGAAGTGATCCTGTTTCTTCTTGCAGATTTTTTGTTCCGTTTTATTTATGATACCTATTTTGGTAATTGTAGTCAACAGACGTAAGACATAATATAACGATGAATAGGGATGTAAATGAACCGAACTTTCAGCGAACCGTTCGGCGGGAAGTTCGTTTATTTAATAAAGGAATGGGCATGAACAATTTTTTTTGTTCGTTTAGTTAAACGACGAACATGAACAAAAGTCTCGATTGTTTATTTATGTTCGTGAACGTTCGTTCATTATATATATATATATATATATGTATGTATGTATGTATATATATAGAGAGAGAGTTGAGTCAGATTCATACGGGAACATTAGCTAAATAAGAAAACACAAAAACGACCAAATCAAATGTGAATGTATGTTTTATACTACTAGTCAATAATAAATGATATTAAACAATTTGAAGTAGATTATATACTAAAAAACTACTAAATAAGACAGTAAAAATATAATAAATAACAAATATCATGCTATAAAGATCGTGTATCGGGTCATAACGTGTCACAAGTTTAATGTGATGTCGGTGATAAATTTTAAACCACAATGCACCATGAGGGCTATTACAACGAGCTTTTTTAAAATACTGATGGTAAGCGCGTTATGGTGGTGCTGAAGTTTGAAGTCTTATTTTACTTATGATTTATAAAAGCTGAAGTCTGAAATTTGAATTAATGATACTGTATGTTTTAAACTAATAAACTTATGAATTTGTTTAAATTGTCTATTTTACTCATTAAGAAATTATAATGTTGAAATTTATAGATAAATTTATACAATTTCACATATTTATCATTATCATTACGAAGTTTACACCAAAATTATATAATTTACATTCATTTAAACGAAAATACGTCATTAATGGTGTTTAACACATTTAAATCATATTAAAATACATCAATTGAGAGAGGTGAAGACTGATTTGGTAAGGATCGATTTGTTGAGCATTTGAAAGACAATAAGAGACAAATAAAAAGTTGATTTACCTTTTATCAGATAAAAAAATAAAATAAGACATAAGTATCTCTGAAAAATTGAAAAAAAAAACAATCTGAATGATGTTATATTTTAAAGAATCAAACATAAGAGAAATATAATTTTTATAAAAAAACAAAGAATTCGAGCTTGAAGCGTGACCCTCCTTTTTTGAATCTTGATTTTAATACTCGTTGTCACTTATACAATACTTAGGGCCTGTTTACTAAGGGCTTAATGAGCTTACTGCATAAATCAGCTTATTCGGACAGACAAAGAGGACTGTTTACCTTGGGCTGATTCGCCCAGAAATGGGCTTATTCGCCCAGATGAAAAACCTATGTTGTCTGGATTAAGCCAGGTAAAAGACACACCCTACCCTTCACGCCTCTCTCAACGTCTGCTCCATCAATCCAATCGACTGTTGCTCTCGATCGATATTGTTGCTCTCGTCTCCATCATCTCGATCGACTGTTGCCATCGTCTCCATCATCTCGATCGATTAAGGTATTTTTAGGGTTAATTTTTKATGTAATTGGYAGCTCTTCTTCCCCAATGGAACGCYGACCACCCGATATATCCAGTGCGATATCTCAGATCCTGATGAAACCCTCACCAAACTCTCTAATGTCCAAGACGTTACCCACCTCTTCTACGTTACTTGGGCCAATCGATCCAYCGAATCTGAGAACTGTGAAATCAATGGGAAAATGTTCAAAAACGTCCTGGATGCAGTCATCCCTAATTCCCCCAATTTACAACATGTTTCTCTACAAACTGGACGGAAACATTAYTYGGGCCCGTTTGAATCGTACGGTGAAGTAGCTCATGATCCCCCTTYTCATGAAGATCTACYTCGTCTTGATGCCCCCAATTTCTACTACACTCTGGAGGACATTCTATTCAAATCTGTTGAACAGAAGGAAGGATTAACGTGGTCGATTCATAGACCTGGAACGATCTTTGGGTTTTCGCCATACAGCATGATGAACATCGTCGGTGCTCTATGCGTTTACGCCACAATTTGCAAGCACAATCTGCTGCCAATTACAGTGCTAATGATATGGCCAAATCGGTTCCCTAAAGTGTTTGTTGTTTCCCTAAAGTAAATCGATGTTTGCTGTAAATCGTTGTTTGCTTACCATCCAGACCTGTTAATGTTTCTGTTTTCTTAAGGTATTTGCTTTACACAATGGGGACTGTTAATCCTCAGGGGTAAATTGGTCATTTCTGTTATTCAGACGGTTGATTCAGATAAAAAAGTAAACAACAACATAAATTTATCCAGACAGCCAAATTTATCCAGACAGACAAATTTATCCATACAGGACTTAATAGAAAATTTGGTAAACAGCCCCTTACCTAATTATATGCATTTAATAATTCCCTTTGTTTTAAAAAAAAAAAGTATTGCTTTTTCTTATTTTATATTTCCTAATTATAATATATATATATATATATATATATATATATATATTGGTTATTATACAACCCTTTATATTTGTACAACCAATACAACCCAATATCAACCGTCCATTTAATTTGATGAATATGTGATTTTATAGAAGTTTTGATTGTTTTCTAATATAAAGTATTGATCATAATTAATGAACTCTATTCATCTTTCATAAATATTCATATCATAATAAATAAACTCTCATCATTTCTATAAATATTTTAATTAATTGTGTTGCATTGATTGTATAAATAGACATGGTTGTATTTGAAATATATATATATATATATATATATATATATATTATTGAGTGGTTCCATTTCAACCAAGGGCCATAAAGTTTTGTGAACAAAATTATTACATTGCTCAACAAATACTTATTTTTTAATATTATTTTATGATCCACTTATAATTAAAATGGCAGACTTTAATGCATAATTAAAAGCTAATTAAATATTAAAACCCACGTGATTTTTTAAATTCAGCATATGTCTTTATATTTAGAGGTTATTTGTTAGTTACTGAATGGTTTGGTATATAATGATTAAATAATCAGAATGATTAAGAGACTCTCATTATATAGTATAAAATCAAATATAATTGTTTGATAGTTGTTTACAATGAAATTAGGGTGCTAAATGGTTAAAGAAGACCCATGATACAAAATCATTCAGAGGGTGTTGAAACCATTAGAGGCAGATTTTTTTTTTACCAAACAAGATTCTTCTCTTAATGATTCAAATGTTACCTCTTAATGGAACTATTAAAAAGTAAACAAACAACCCCTTAAATAAAATCAATTTTACGAATTATTACATCAAAATTATATGTCTTTTATTTCAATATAGTAGTAATCTATGAGATATAAATTAAAATATAAGTATTTAATTTTATATAATATAATGAGCTTATTTTTCTAGATGTCTAAGTTTTCATTTTAGATTATCTTAGAAAAAATAAAAATTCATTTCTATTTTAATTTATTATTATTTTTATTTTCATTGATGATTAAAGTATATATGTTTTTATTTTAAAAATTTTCATTTTAAAATATTATAACAACTAATATGATAGTTTTATGTCTTTTGGAACGGGAAAACATCGGGCTCCATAAATTATCACGTCAACGATACACCCTGATATGGACTGTCATGCACACGTTGACTTAAAATCTATAGAAATGAGGACTCAAAACTCGTGGCATCACAAACAGGAGAAGGGGGCCAAGAATCTGACCAGGTAAGAACGATGAGAATGATGGAGAGTATTACCCGATAAGTGAGGATGACGACTCTTACCCAGTAAATTGTTGCATTCGATATGTTTTGATGTACTAAAATCTTGCGCATCAAAATAAATCATAGTGTTGACTCCTATTGGTAAGCAATTAGGTAAACGACCCGTAACTTAATTTTCAATAAAAACAGTGGCTCACAACGCAACATTTAAGGTAGCAAATGAATGGCTCTATATGGGTCCGGCCCTTGCTATCATGAAAGACAAAAACGTTGTAAGCAAAAAACAAACATTTGTATTGGATTTTTTATATCGATAATAATAAAAATAGATAAAAATAATGTGAATAATATGGTATAAGGTCATACAATGTCTTACCCTCGAGTGTCAATTTTAATGATTACACAGATCATCGTTCCTGGGTGTATTTTTTCTGATTTAAAATTCAAACATTAATGAAGCTGTCGATGTATTTAGTAAGCAATCGTGTACTGTTTTGGTGAAAAATCCATAATGACGACTGAGTAATATAATATTCACAACGACTGATCGTTAATAGCTATAAAAATTGATTATTGATGACATCTATTACTTTTACGATATTCATCACAAGTAAAACTCCATAACGGATTAATGATGGAATATCTCTTTATTAATACACAAATCATAACTGTCGACTAAGAGGCCGTTTAACAAACACTTACCCGGTAAATACTTACCGGTAAAATTTAACACTATTATTTACCTCCCTACAAGAAATTAATTATTTGGGTAATGCTGCCGAAGCTTTTTTATTTTAGTCAAAAACAAATAAATAGTCACCGACCAGGCAACATGGAGGATTTTGATTGGTTGCTTCTCCACCTACTCCCAATTATTTGTTTCAAATTATAAAATAATGCTAAAAGCTAAGGTGTCATTACGGTCAATTATGTTACCAGATATACATGATAAAATATCTAAAATCTTACCTGGTAATAGCAATGACAAAGATTAAAGATTTTACTTGATAAGTGAGGATGACAATTCTTATCCAGTTAGCGCTGACTGGATAACTTATTGCATATGGTGCCGTTTCGATGGACTAGAAATTTACTCGGTAAGTTAAGTAATTGTGTAGGCTCTTACTGGTTTTCAAATAGAGATTAATCAAATCAATTGTTAACTCTAAACAATTATCTGGTAAGTGCTTACAGGTAAAAATTCATATTTTAATTATTTTACCAAATAAGATTGTAGTCCATCAAATCAACATCATATGTAACAATCTACCTAGTAAGCGCTAACTGGGTAAGAGTCGTCAACCCCACTTGCATGGTAAAATTCTCGGTACTTGCCATCACTCTTACCAGATATGATTTTCTGTCATTGTCATATTCATCCGGTAAGATAAATGACCTGATAAATGGTACATGTTTGATTTTTTTTACCAGATCCCATTTTAAATTAGGCTATTTTTTTAAATTAATTGAAATCTTCTGACATGAATAAACGCCAACTCCCTGTATAGTATTACGATTATGTGAAAACCTATGTTCTGATAAACAATACTCCAGACAACCTTAAGGGTGTGTTTGGTGCGCAGACAGGACAAGACATGACATAACAGAACATGACAGGACAGGACAGCTGTTCAACGTTATATAAGATATGACATGACAAGACAGAACTGAATAAAATGACCAATTTACTTCTAACGTTATTTTGCTTCTGTACTAAGTTAAAACATATGCAAAACAGTTTCCCAATAACTTATTACTATCCTTAGCAAGATTGGAGGGATTTTGATTGGGGAGTGAACAAACAGATGGGTATTGTTGAAGAACTGATAGGTATTCAAGACCGTCCATGAATCCAACAAGACTGTAGATCAACCAAGCAAAATAGAAATCATACAAGCAAAACAATAGCAAAGAATATGGTTAATGAAATGCAAACAGTAGCAAAATCGAACACTTTTAAACCCATTGCACTTGCTGTCGATTTATGCAAACAGTACTAAAAATCGAGTAATTAAACCCATTGCCCTTGTTGTTTCAGATATAGTTATGCAAATCGAAGTAGAAAACAACAAAATCGAGTAGAAAACAGCAAAATCGATTAGAAAAATAGAGTAGAAAACAGCAAAATCGAAAGTTCAGAGGGCACTTTTTGCACTTGTTGTCGAGTTATGCAAAATCGAAAAACAACAGGGTTCTTCTAAACGATTGATGAAGGAGAGGAGAGATCGATTTACCTGAGAGTATGGAGAAAGGAGAAAGGTCGAACGATTGGTGCTGTCGATTTGTGAAGGGGAACGACTCTGTCCAGGCCGCCGACCGCAGATTGATGAAGGAGACCGTGGAAGATGGAGGCGACGTTGTGAAGATGGAGGGTAGATAGATCAAATGTTTCTTGTTCTAGTTAGTTCCATGGGGGGAAGGGTGGACTACCGTGTCCTACCCGTGTTCTACCTTGTTCTAGTTAGTCCCACATAAAACCACACCAAACATGGGACAAATGTGTTATGTCCTGTCCTGTCCCACCCTATTCTGCCTACCAAACGCACCCTAAATAACATACAATATAATAAATGTTTTATATGTAAGATCGCTATCTTGCCAATTAACTATTATATATCTGGTTATTGATAAATAAATAAATATTCCAAAGTGATAACTATAAATAATAATATAAAACTAATTATAATACAATTTTTAAGTACAAGATTCATATAGTATTTTTTAATTATACACATAATTACAAGAGAATTTTTTTAGACATAGAAAATTCACCGTCGTATGGCTAACCGGCGATTACTAGCGATTCCGGCTAATACATGGAGTAACTCCGGGTATAGCAGTAAAAGCAAGACGTGTAGATGGAGTTTATCCCAAAAAATTCCAATTGAAGGACTATTTATAGAATAAGTGGAAAGAATAAAGTCCAAGGACTTCATAGGCATTATGAGGAACTTGTGGGCTTAAATGGAAAATAACTTGAAAGTGACATTGAAATCCTATAAGAAGAAGTCGACGTGTATATCCTCGTAGTATAATAACTAAAAGATATTCGTATAATGTAGTGAGATAAATCTTGATTTTAATATTTAGTTTTTATTATGTCTCTATTGATATAATACGATTTTATGTGGTTTTAAAAAAAACGATAACATTTTTATTTTTGAATGAAATATAAATTTGAAAATACTATAAAAATTTTAAAAAATAAATCGATATTAATAGACGAAGTTGAAAAAAATAAATCGATATAATGCGATTCATTCTTTTTTATTATTGTTATTCTATTTTGTTTTTTACGTATTTTTAATTCTTATGCATATATATCATTTAAATATTAGAGGCCCGGCCCAAATCCATGGCCCATGTCTGAAGGTAATGGATCAAAACGGAATTCGAAAATTGGGAGATACTGATG